AACCTATCATAATTATAACGTATAACTTTCTTAATAATAAACTTAACTTGATCCACTATCTCCTCTTATAACTGTAAAAAGAGACCCGTTAAAGACCTTCTGCTATATAAATACTGTTAAAAGAACTGGAATAACAATAGCACTAATATTATAGATCATTTGATTATAATATTATTAGTATTATTTAATATTTATATAAATATTATTAGTATTACTGATTTTGTTAATATTATTAATGTTAACACAAATAAAAAATTAATAATAAAGTATTAATTAATTATTTAAATCAATAAAATATAATAAAATCTTATTAAATTAAATTATACTATGAATTAATTAATAAAATAATAACTAAATATTCATATTATAATAATATAATATTCTTTTGTTTATTATTTATTCCATCTAATCTTAGTAATTGAGCTATTTTAATTTTGAATTAGAGTTGTGTGACAGAATGAATAATAAATTTTAAGTACTGCTTAGCTTAATTAAAAGTTGAACTGCTTTAATATTGAAATTGAATTGTCACTTAACTTGACTTAGTAGTTGAGCTTACTTTAATTTTGAGTTAAATTCTATAAATTCAATAATTTGAAATATTAGTATCTTTAATGTGATTAATATTTTATCATGAACCAAATATTTATTTGATTAATTCATTGTATTCATATTTGTTTTAATGATTTAAAATATTAGCATCTTAGCATGATTAACATTTTGTCATTGACTAAATATTTATTGCGTTGTTACGATTAGGCTCCTTGTGGGTAATATCGTAACGTAGATATTTAACCAACGTCTAATGATGGTATTTTACAGTTACTCGATCTCGACATAATCAGTGTACTTCGAAATCATCATGCAGTGCGTTTTCTTCTATTCGTTAAATAGGCTCTCACTATTACTAATAGATGTTCTATTTACTTAGTATGAGATAGTCCTATAGTAATATAGTACTGATATTCTATAATAACTTAGCAGTTTGTTCAATAGTGCGTGATAAATGCAAGTATTTTAATAAGTTATTATTCAATTAATCAATGTACAAATTTCATTAACAATAAATAAGGAACAATTTATTGACTAGCTAGATTTTTGCAGTAATCAATTGATGATTTATTTGAGAGATAAAACTCTTCATTATATAGCTAATTATTTTATCATACATGTTACAGTTCTTTTCACCTCATTACAACATGTTACATCTCATTACAACATGTTGCAGAATATTATCACATGTTACTGAATATTACAACATGTGTCAAAAAATATTATGTGAATATTGTTATATAAAAATAATAAAGTATAAAATAAATAATAATGATAATGATAATGATAATGATATATAAGAATATATTGATTCGTAACAGCATTTGCATTTGATAATTTAATTTATATGTATTGATATTGGAAGTTTTTTTCTATATTTCTTTTAAAAATATAGCTAACTATCTTTCACAATCACTGAACTGAATTGTGACAATCTTTAATCTTCACCAGATACTGATATTTGATAACTATATTAAATAAATATCAATATTAATACAACTAAATTCAGATTTAAAAAAAATACCAGTATTAATATTACCTTACTAGAATTGAGAATAGTTAAAGATAATACTTTCTAATCTTTTTTAGAGCACAAATTCTCTCTTTGTGCATTTTCTAGTAAAGATGAGTTTCTTTTAGATACTCTTTAATAAAGAATGATGAGATAATCCTCATCCATATCTCATCTATAAAGTCATCAAGTATCTTAGATCAGAATATTTGCATGTATTGATAATAGATCTGCTATTTTTTTATTGCTTTCTTGATTCTTTTACAGGTATTCTTTGCTAAAGTAGAGAATAATGAAATACTCTTACACTCATATTTCATTTATGAAATTATTCAGTCTATTTATTTTAAGATCAAAAAATGTGATAATTGATAATTTATTTTCACTTTTTATTAAGTGCAAATTGTCTTTCTTGAATATGATAATCAAAAATTCATTCTCATTTTTACTTATATTTATTAGCAATTCATTCTCACTTTACTGATAATTCTCATTTTCTCATTTTTACCCTACTCATCCACATAATATGCAAATTCTACTTCTTTGAATAATTAAAACTTGATAATATTTTATTATCTTGTAATAATTGAACAAATATAATAAATATTATGATTACTTTGTTTTTAAAATACATAATAATTAGATACTGATTTATGTCCACGAAAAATAATTAACATTCAATTCACTTGAGTATCCAAATAAATTAATACATAATTAGATCTTGGTTAAATTTATAATTATAATATTATTATTATCATTTAATGCATAAGTAAATAATTATATTATTTATTGTTTAATATATTCAATAAATCTCATATTATTATTATGATTTATTATGATTACTTAATAAATATTAGATTTTATGTCATTAAGACAAGTATAAATGTATATACATAATAATATAATCATATTTTATACTTCTTGAGCACATTATCTTACCATCTACAAACTCATACAATAATACAAAAGTATCAAAAAATAAAAAGATCAAAGTAAAATTACTAGAATGTAACTACAAAAAGTCTATATATTAAAATTCATTATTTTGTTTAATAATAAAAAGAAGTTGATAAAAATGATGATGACAATGATAAAAAAGATATAATAAACTTAAAAATTTCTCAGAGTATTATTAAGGAATTCCAGAAATCAGTTAAAAAAGTAAAAGTATCACCATTGTTATCATTTTTTGAATTTAAACAAGCAGATAACTAATTTTAATCAATTATTAATATATTTAAAATTTATTATTTAAATAATATAAAAAATAATGATAAAAATAAAAATAAAAAATAATTATCATTATTATTGATTATCAAGAAATAATATAATTTATAATTTTGTTTAATATGTTAATTTGCTATAAATTCAGATTTCTGTTATATCAGATAAAGCATATACAACCAGAAAAAGAATTTTTGCTATGCTAACTTGTAATAATAAATAGATTATTTCTATAATCATCATCCTTAGGAAAGCAAAATTTAATAACTATAAAGAGGATATGATTATAAAGAAATTTTTTTATTATATTTATATGTAAATAGAAAAGCAAAATAGGATGATTATAGAGGGATGTGACTATAAATGGGTGTGACTATAGAGAGGTTTAACTGTATTTTTATGTTCTTATTTAATTCACAATAGCGGATCACAGTCATATATACATGAATCGACATCTACTGAACTATTTATTTATTTATGTGAAGTATTAGCACTTGTTGATACGTACAGAACAGCACATTATTCAACATTTACAAAAAATTGGATGTTTAATTACTTAAATGAATACCAGTTGCTGGTTACTCAAAGTGTCCATCTATTGTAAAAAGCAAAATAATCTTAAATTTTTGAAAAAATTGATTGATCTCATCAAATAAAAATGTGATTTCTCAACAAAATGAAACTTATTCAAGAATGTATAATCATAATCACGTCATGGATAATATGACTTTCAGCATTAATCTGACAGCATTGAATTATTACATAAAAGACATCTGATGAAATATTAAAAATCTGTCGAATTAGAGATTATTATTTTCTAAAATGCGCTTACATAAAATGGTTTTACTCACCTGAGCAAAAAGTAGAAATGAGGGAATTGAAACGCATTGAGGAATTTATTCATGTAGAGTTTTTCAAAAGATTGAAAAGTTATTTACTGTATATGTAGACTTAAGCATGCTGTATCTTAATGATCATTGATTCTAATATTTCCTTTTCTCTTTTGATAATCACTTTTAATTGTATCTGTCTATTTATAGGAAAATCTCAGCTGGACAGAACTCAATGATGGTCCATTGCGAATCGATCAAGTCATTTACGTGAAAAAGGACTCGCAAGAGGTACTTGTTAATTCATGTTAAAATTAATATATAAGAAAATCACGATTTTTTTATTGATTTATTTATTGGCATCTATAATTTTAGAAAATCATTATAGGAAAACAAAGGAGTGATGTGACATTGTGTGCACAAGAAGAAATTTTAAAGAGATCAGTTCGTAAAAAACCGCAATTTCGTCGAGAGGTCTTGAAATGTCTACTAAAGCTAAAATAAGTAGCATTTTCTTGCATTACTAGCGATATAGTGCGGTATATCTAAAAAAATAAATAAATAAATTGATTAAACTTTCCATAGCAATAGTTTAATATTCGTTAGATTAACGACTGTATCAGAATGCAGGGGGAATTGTCCGATCATGTGATTTCCGGACCAGTGATCGGCTGATCTCCGATCCCAG